TATATATATATATATATATATATATATATATGGAACAAATCCTAAACATAACATTAACATATCCTGAAATTAACCAGAACATATCCTGAAATTAACCAGAACATATCCTGAAATTAACCAGAACATATCCTGAGATAAACCAGAACATATCATAAACATGACCAGAACATATCATGATATTAACCAGAAACTATTCTGAAAAAAAACAGAACATATCCCGAAATGAATCACAACACAACCTGAAATTAACTAGAACATATCCCGAAATTAACCAAAGCATTTTCCTGAAATTAACCAGAACATATCCCGAAATTAACCAGAACATAATCATAAACATGACCAAAAAATATCATGAAATTAACCAGAACATATCCCGAAATTAACCAGAACATATCATAAACATGACCAGAAAATATCATGAAATTAACCAGAAACTATTCCGAAAATAACCAGAACATATGCCGAAATTAATCACAACACAACCTGAAATTAACTAGAACATATCCCGAAATTAACCAGAGCATATCCTGAACTTAACCAGAACATATCATAAACATGACCAGAACATATCCTGAAATTAACCAGAAACTATTCCGAAAATAACCAGAACATATCTCGAAATTAACCAGAGCATATCCTGAACTTAACCAGAACATATCCCGAAATTAAATCACAACATAACCTGAAATTAACCAAAACATAACATAAACATGACCAGACCATATCATGAAATTAATCAGAACATATCCCAAAAATAACCAGAACATATCCTGAAATTAATCAGAACATAACCTGAAATTAACTAGAACATATCCTGAAACTAACCAGAACATATGCTGAAATTAACCAGAACATATCCTGAAATTAAACAGAACGTATTCTGAAATTAACCAAAACATATAAAATTAACAAGTAGATATCATAAACATGACCAGAAATTATCCTGAAACTAACCAGAACATACCATGAATATGACTAGAACTTATCCTGAACCTAACCAGAACATATCTTGAAATTAACCACAACATATCCTGAAATAAACCAAAACATATTTTAAAATTAGCCAGAACATATCATGAACATGACTTGAACATATCCTGAACGTAACTAGAACATATCCTAAAATTAACCAGAACATACCCTGAAATTACCCAAAACATATACTAAAATTAACCAGAACATATCATGAAAACAACAAGAGCATAACTCAACATGTTTTGGTAATCTTCAGGGTATGTTCTGGTTTATAAATCACAGATTCAACCAATCAACTGTAAGCAAAGTGACATGAATATAAAGCCACTCCTCCAGTTTCTCTTGCTCCAGATTAAAGGTTACTATATCACTTTTAATGATATAAATCGCCTGATTATAGCAAAGATTATTTATTTTAATTATCTTAGAATATTATATCAGTAATCCATTACACAGACAATTTTGGCTTAATCAACATTTTTGTTCGAATAAATATACAGATAGCAGCGATATAAAGAAAACTCAGCCCAAGAATTGAGCTGACTCTCTTGGGAGAAATCAATCGCAGAATCTTTATATTTCAAGGCCTGTGACAGTTAACAGAAAAAGTCAATAGTTATCATTAACAAAGCCTGACTACACTGGTTTGCTTTTATAAAAAACAAAATTAAACTAGTAATACTGAGTTTGTTAAGCCAGCATCAGGATATGGCTCACAACTCCAAACAAATCCAGTAATCCTGAGCTTGTTAAGATGACATCAGGATACAGATCACAACTCCAAACTAATCCAGTAATCCTGAGCTTGTTTAGACAGCATCAGGATGCAGGCCAAAACTCCAAACAACTTCAATCAAGTAATTCTGAGTTTGTTTAATCAGTGTAATGATAAAGGCCAGCGTCAAACCAGCGTCATGATACAGGCCACAACTCCAAACTATTCTAGTAATCCTGAGTTTGTTAAGTCAGCATTAGGATACGGCTCACAACTCCAAACGAATCCAGTAATTCTGAGTTTGTTAAGACAGCATGACGATGTAGGCAACAACTGCAAACTAATCCAGTAAACCTGAGTTTGTTAAGGCGACATCAGGATGTACGCAATGACTGCAAACAAATCTAGTAATTTTAAGTTTTATAAGACGACATCATGATACTGTCCACAACTCCAAACTAATCCAGTAATCCTGAGTTTGTTACGACGGCATCAGGAGACAGATCACAACGCCAAACTAATCCAGTAATCCTGAGTTTGTTAAGACAGCATCAGGATGCAGGTCACAACTTTAAACTAATCCAGAAATCCAGAGTTTGTTAAGACAGCATCAGGATAAAGATCATAACTTTAAACTAATCCAGCAATCCAGAGTTTGTTAAGACAGCATCAGGATACAGATCACAACGCCAAACTAATACAGTAATCCTGAGTTTGTTAAGACAGCATCAGGATGCAGGTCACAACTTTAAACTAATCCAGAAATCCTGAGTTTGTTAAGACAGCATCAGGATAAAGATCATAACTTTAAACTAATCCAGTAATCCTGAGTTTGTTAAGACAGCATCAGGATAAAGATCATAACTTTAAACTAATCCAGTAATCCTGAGTTTGTTAAGACAGCATCAGGATAAAGATCACAACTTTAAACTAATCCAGTAATCCTGAGTTTGTTAAGCCAGCATCATGGAGCAGGCAGCAGTATTTGAAACTTGTTAAAATCATTTTTGCTCATTAGTACATGACTGACGTGTCACTAAACAAATGTGACGTTTACTGTGTTTAGCATGAATCACCTTCTTGATGTTGCTTTCTGGATTAAACCCACAGTCAAACCCGCGTGGAGACACTGAACTGTGGAAACCCTGCAGAGCACAGATGAAGTTGAGTGTAAAGTTTTCTGCTCACACTGGTGTAATGGTCACAGTGCTGTGCTGATGACTTACCATGGCGTTTTCCCCCCAGTCCGTCAGGCTGTAGTCCACAGTTATCTCCTCGCCTTTGGCAATGTCTCGGATCGCTATGACGACAAGCCGGACCTGACTCCCACAATGCACCTCTCTGATCCTGCAGTTGGGCGGCGGGTGGAAAA